ACTGTTTTGAAACCTCGCGATGGCCTGAATAATTCTCTCCTTATATGGAGATAGAATATATGGAATAATCCTTATTCTCTTCTTATATGGAGAATATATGGAGATAGAATAACGGTTCCATATTCAAGTATAAGTCGTACGTACNGACGACAGATGGAGTCTAAAACTTTAATCGCGAAACATTTGGGAAACAAGCAATCAAAAATACAGGTTGCAGAATGAATAACGGTTAACCTAAACCATGACAAACACGAGTCGAACAAGAACTATGGAAGGAGGATAGGAAATCCGGTAGGAAACAAAAAAAACCATATTATTGGATAATTTGCCCTATTATAGCGGCTCGTCGAATAAATTGATTTGGATGGTCTGATTGGTTTATTACATGCTTTTACAAAACGTGTGAAAGAAGCATCAAAAACAAACAAACGCATCCAAAGATAAACCTTGAACATGATTGATGAACAACTAAAGGAACACAAATAATATAACGACTAATGGAGAATATTAAACATTAATGAACATCATGAACAACAAATAGATCTATATACATATAGGGATAAACGTATAAATATAGAAAGAGGATACCAGTAACAAAGTTGTTAAAGACAACACAACAATAAAGACTGAGGTGACAACTAGTGTGATTACTGAGGAACTGAAAACTTTCTCGCCTCACCTTGAAAAGATTGAGTGTGCAACTAGCCTTTTTGCTAATTTTTATATACTCTGAGCCAGCTCTGTGCGTAAAGAAGTGCTTACCTAGTGAGGTCTCGACCGAAACAGAGCATGATTTGCTTGAGTTTCCTCTAGTTTTTGAAAGTTTGAAGGAAAACCACTTGGTAGCACAGAATGAGATGTAAGCGAAGCCAGGTGCTCTCATGGAAACTTTCCGTATGAAACTGTTTTGAAACCTCGCGATGGCCTGAATAATTCTCTTCTTATATGGAGATGGAATAACGGTTCCATATTCAAGTATAAGTCGTACGTACATTTTGAAGGCCTCGAGAAGGACGGTTGAATCCTCACTGAAAAGAGCATAAAGCAGAAAAAAAAGCCTAGATTCAGCCTTAGCAGCAAGGCTAAGGCAGTGAGTATCGAAACATTGGTAGCGGGTGGTCAACTACAGAGGCAACTGCAATGGGCGAGTTGGAAGTAGGGTAGGTGTTATGGACATCACTTTTACCCAGATGCAAAACTTCGGTTTTTCCAATAGAAATGGTAAACAGCACATCTTGGACCAATCAAGAGTACTGTAGATGGCTCTCTGAATGGAAGAAAGGCATCAGGAGACCTTAATAATTTATAAAGCTTTATATCGTCTGCAAACATCTTACAGCATACTCCGTGGCTCTCAACCGAAGCAGAAAGATCGAAAGTATAAATATTAAACAGAACCAGTGATAAGACTCCTCCCTGAGGCACTCCACTAGGAGAGAACCTGGTGGATGAGAACGAGTGTTCACGTTGACTTGAGATGTGCGCTCAAACAGAAGCAATTTAATTCATCGTACAATTCTCGGGTGTACTCCGACTTGTACTAGTTTTTCTATTAGTTTAGTATGACACACTTTGTCAAACGCTTTTTGAAAATTAGAAAATATGACATCCACACAAAACTTCTGATCAATCATTGAGGGTTGCAAGCATTTGCGTAATTGCAGATCGACCTTTCCTGGACCCTTGTTGGCGACCGGGTAAAATTTTTTTCTATCTAGGTGACCAACAATGGCATCTTTTATCACTTTCTCAAATAACCTGCAAAAGATAGAAGTCAAACTTATGGGTCTATAAATACCCGGAACATTGAAGGGGCCTTCTTAGGGAAAGACAGAACGATAGCATGTTTCCATCTGAGAGGAACTTCGGATACTGCAAACTTATATTAAAAATAAATTCCAAGGGAAAAGCAATGTAATGTGCAACATTCTTTATAAACGAAAAAGGAATCCCCTCAGGTGTCTGAGGTACATTTGACGGCCACTTGAGCGGGCGATTAAGAATGTCTTGGCTGGTAAAAACTACTGAATCACTCATAGTATCAAAAGATAGGTCATCAGTGAATGTCTACTAGTTCGAGTGTCTACGAGTTCGTAAGCACAGCTTGTAGCTGCACTTGATGGTCATATCTAGCGATCATTCTCGATGATTCTCGTTCATACCGCTGAGTTATGTCAACCATGCATACAGATGGCA